TGAATTACTAATATCGCTATTAAAAGATAGGGGTTTATGGCAGCACCCATATCACTTAGGGGTATAAAAAATAGATAACAACCTATTCTCAGACCTACTGAATATATATATACAAAATTTTATCAAAATTGGTCAAGCCGTTTCGGAGGAGTATGGTAACTAAAACTGTGACACGAGAATTTTATATATATAGATGCATAGAGTAAGTAAAATAATTTATTTTACTTTCTCTATGTATAGATGGCTTACCTCGCACGGCCATTTGATTGTTGAGCTGCAGTTTCAAGTTGGCGCCTCGCCTGGAGAACCGGATCGTGTGCCACTCGTTGTCGTTCAGGTTCTGGCCCACCAGTAAAATCTGCACCGATCGAAAAGAAAAAGTTGACATCGTGAGCGAGCGGCATTTGAAACAGTCGGAAACCCTGATGAATTCGCACGTTGGCGCATCCCGGGCCATAAAATTAATAACGGCCAGTGCCGGAAAGCCTTACCGTATCTTTCTCCCTGTCTTCCTTCCGCTTCTCCTTAACATCGACTCTTAAGGCGAGCCGTATCCGGCCGGCGGCGACGGCCAATTCAATCCGGTCGCCCGTTTCCACCGTGCTGGAGATCAACAGTAATCCCAAAGGTTTGCTGGTCCTGAATCGCAAAATTATGTCTTCCGTTTGGGTCACCATTTCCTTGTCCATCCGGACCGTCATGTGCGCCGATCCGTTGAAGCTGGAATTGAATTAAATCGCCATCACATTCAGTTTTTTTTCATTCATCATTCTTTCCGCCCTTTTCTATAAGTCATGAGGATTTGCGACTGTTTTGGCCAGTAGGTACCTTAGAGTGGCCGCTTCCTTTCCACATGTCGGCCCGGTGAATGTTGTGTTGGTGCAGTCGCATACGAAGCGATTCCAGCCCTCCGTGCAGGTGCCGCCGTTAAGACAAGGCTGCGACGGGCACTGCTGAGGCTGAGTATGGCATAATGTTCGTATCGAGCCTAAAAATCAAATATTTCCGTTTTTACAAAGCAAAAATGGATTTTTTCATCCTTTGCAGGCTTTGCCTTGTCTGCTCCAAAGCTTCAATCATTTAGTGCTTATACAGAGAAACTTTTCTGGGGTTGCCAGACTTGAGATTAGCTATAAGCTATAAGAAGATTTGACGCTTTCAGATGTGGCAAGAAAGCAAACTTTATATGGAACAGGCGTGTACAGGGTGGGCCACTAAGAGAGGTGGTCGGCCATATCTCACAAACTATTAGTCGATTTCAAGTAAAAAAATATATTAGTAAAGGGGCTCAGGGAAATGGCTTGCAAGTCTGCAAAATGCCCGCAAGAGGGCGAAATTACAATATTAAATTTTGAATACGGATTTTTAGCAGTTTAGGACAGGCTAGGGCAGGTTGCAAATACCTTAATTCTATTCTTGACAAACTTTCAGTTATTTCTGGTGGGAGTATTATTGTTCTAGCTAGTCAAATAAAGTGGTGGTGGAAAGTCAAAAAACGGTTTAAAAAGTTAACGTTGATTTTTCGAGATGAAAATCACTTTTCAACTTTAACTCGACTTTTCAAAGTCAACCGACTATTGTAGGACATTCGATGTCATAAAATTTGCAAGCCTGATTATCCCTTTATCGAGCGATGTGCCAGCTTATTCGAATCATCCTTGGAATTTTGCAAAATTTTTGTTTGCGTAAATGCATGGAAAAGTCGAAAATGCTCGAACATTTTTTCGATTCATTTGATCAGCTAAAATCGGACACCAATGACTTCTCATTATAATACAAATAGGTCATTAGCCACATCTATTGGCTATGTTTTTTCCGTTGAGGTTTCGTTCAAATATAAATGGACCGATAATTCGATAATAATTTAATAATTTAATAATAATTAAAAGTATAAAGAAATCAAGCAAAATAGTGAAAACCACATACCGATATATTTGTCATAACCGAAGATATAAGCAATTTGACAATAACAATGATATTGTTGGGTTGTTGACAAAACAATCGGTTCTGAGAAGAACTGATTGTTTTGTTTAACCCATTATGAGTATTCTTTGAATGAAATGCACCCTTGCGATTCAAGCCTGCTTAGATGCTCAAGATGTTGCTCTAGCGGCCATTTTGCAAACTTGAAAATAATTTCCAGCCATTTCCCTGAGCTACTTTACTTACATATTTTTTTACTTGAAATCGATGCGACTAATAGTTTGTGAGATACGGCCACTTCTTTTAGTGGCCCACCCTGTACACACCCAGTTTTTTATGTAAATTTGTACATTTTAAAGCCCTAGCGAAATTTTGAAATAGAACTGTATTTAAGGCCTTGTAATCTTGTAAGTTTTACACACCTTCGGTACATCTATGTACCTAAGAAATAATTATTAATTTTGAAAACTTTTGCTGTAACTTGTAGTTACTTAATCAAACATTTCGACTTATTAGAAGCTCTTTTCAGGACAGAATTGCAGTTTTCTCTGCTCTACTTTGTTTTTTGTACATTTGAAAATTCTAGATGAGGGTTCTAGAAAATTGTAGACAATTTGCAAGTGAGCATCCAAAAGAGTTGTTTAGCTTCTACTATCCCAAAGAGAATTTATGGCACGGTTTTCATCACTAAGGTTCCTTAAGCATTTCTTCTATAAACGTCCATATTTTCAGATTTCTAGGTATGGCAAGTAATTCTAAAAAGTGAATGATTTTATGTGACTTATCAAGACTTTTCGAACAATTACGATTTTTTCTCAAGCAAATTCTTCAGAAGTTGTACAAAGTTCAGGGTTCTTCTATAAACTTTGTACATCTTTAGTTTGTATAAGTGGGCCAAACTCGAGATTATCTGTAAGCTTAGTATATTTCAAAACTCTAGATGTGGCAAAAAGTTAAAATGCTCTCTTAACTCTTGAACATTTGAAGTTCCTAGAAAAAATTATTAATTGTGGAAATCCTCACTTTAATTTAGAATTGTTTAATCAAACACTTGA